ACATTGAAAAAAAAATCTTCAAACAACAAAAAACACACATTACAGAAGAACAAACATCGAACTACAAAAAAATAAAAATAAGCATAAACAACAACAACAACCATATCAACAGCAACATCATTATCATCATCAACAACAACAACATCAACGACAACATCAACGACAACAACAACTAATAACAACAACAACAACTAATAACATTAATAAACTACATTATTTTTATTGCCTTATTATTTATATAAAAAGTTTACGAAAAAATATTCACTCAAGAACTTTATACTTTAAACGCCCCTAAATGCTACTACTACTATTACTACTACTGCTGCTACTACTACTACTACTACTGCTACTACTACCACTACTAATACTACTACTGCTACTACTACTACTACTACTACTACTACTACTACTACCACTACTACTACCACTACTACTACTACTACTACTACTACTACTACTGCCACTACTACTACTACTTTAACAATGATATTAAATTAATAATTAATTAGAATATAATCTTTTGTATCAAGTCGGAAATACGTCATTGTACTTGTATGTGTACATTCCCAACTCGGCATTCAAAAGTACATTCTTATCAAATTTCTATTTATAGCAAGACGAATTCTATTAAGAAAAGGATAGGTAGAGAAGGGTGGAGTGAGATAGAGAGAAAAAGAGATAGAAAGAGAGAGAGAGAGGAGAGAGAGGGAGAAAGAGGAAGAGAGAGGGAGAAAGTAAGAGATACATTTTTTACTTCCGCCCGTAACAATGGAAGATAATTTTTTTGAAATGAATTATTTTTAATTTCTTCATACATGCATGCATACATACATCATACATACATACATGCATACATACAAACATACATACAAACATACATACAAACATACTATTAGGCGTCATGGAAACGAAGATGTATGTATTGTTCCACGATCTCAACAATAGTAATATGTTTATTTAAGGTATTGTCTGTATATGTATGTATGTATGTATGTATGTATGTATGTATGTATGTATGTATGTATGTATGTATGTATGAATGTATGTATTTATGTATGTATGGATGGATGGATGGATAGAGAGGTGGATGGATGTTTGTTTAACAATTTATTTGATAGGAGCTAAGGTAGTTGGTCTTCAATAGAATTTAAATTACATTTTTTTAAAGATGCACGTACCTGTGTATGTATGTATGTGTGTGTGTGTGTGTGTGTGTGTGTGTGTGTGCGAGTGTATGTGTTTCTGTGTCTGTTTGTTTGTGTGTGTGCATCTATGTTTGCTTAGCTTTTATTTCTCATTTCATGTGTTTGTCCATGCATTATACAGTGTTTGTTTCGGAATTTGTTTACATCAGGTTCCTCTATCTTTTTGTTCATTCATTTTATATTTAGAAAATTCTCATTAGTTGGTCTATTCGTCCTTTTGCTTACTTGCTCGTTCGTTGGTTCATTCGTTCGTTCGTTGGTTCATTCGTTCGTTCGTTCTTTTGTTCGTTCGTTCGTTTGTTCGTTCACTTGTTCGTTGGTCGTTGAGAGAATTTGAAGAAACAAAAAAGATTGACGTGAAAAAATGGAATAAATTTGTAAAAAAAACTATAAAGAAAGAGAGAGAAATAAAGAAAGAGAGAAAGAGAGAGAGTAAGAGAGTGTGAAAGTGAGTGAGGTTGGAGCGTGCTCACAATGGAAGGCAACATACTATAAAATTTCCGACACTAACATCAATCATCATAATCATTCTCCTGGCCACCATCAATATTATTCTTATTTCTATTGTTGTCGTTGTTGTTATTGTTGTTGTTGTTTTTATTATTATTATAGTCTTTTGCTCTAATGTCATTTCATTGTCAGTAAGAAATTTTTTAAAAGGCATACATGCATTGATACTAAAGTACATAGATATAACAGCGAAGAAAAGCATAGATATAATAGTAGAATTATTCCCACATAGATGCAGAAATGAATGAAAATTTATTTTAAAACTCAAAAATCATAAATCGAAACATTTTAGCGCCGTTACCAATGGTAACAAACGAAAACATTAAACTGTTATTATAACGGTTGAACTACTACTACAACTACTACTATTACTACCACCACCACTACTACTACTACTACTACCACTACTACTACCACTACCACTACTACTACTACAACTCCTACTACTACTACTACTACTACCACTACTACAACAACTACTACCACTACCACTACTACTACCACTACTACTACTACTACTACTACTACTACTACCACTACTACTACCACTACTACTACTACTACCACTACCACTACTACTAAAACTACTACTACTACTACTACTACCACTACTACTACTACTACCACTACCACTACTACTACAACTACTACCACTACTACTACTACCACTACCACTTCTACTACCACTACCACCACTACTACAACTACTACTACTACGGGAGCCACCGTCCAATAATTTTATTAAAGAATTATTAAAAAAATTATTTTCTAATGAGTGCATGAAC